GGGGGGGGGGGGGGGGGGGGGGGGGGGGGGGGGGGAGAAAAGGTTGTTTAACGAGAAACATCATCACTTTTTCAAACCACTAGAATTCTAACTAAATTATTTCACCACCAAAAAACCCATCTCATTCAATGTTAAGGACTGGGGGAACACCTTATCTGCCCCGTACAAACCATCACAGGAGATGGAAGTGTCCTGGGCCTCTTCTGAGGGCTCTGGGACTTTCCTCCAGGAGCAAATCCCCACAGCCTGCTTGAAGGGCGGCAAGATAAAGCAGTTCAGCTCCAAAACACACAGCCCAGTTCCCAGCCCCAAGCGCAGAGGGAACCCACTGAGGCAGGACTGGAGTTGGGGGGGCCACACCCGGCCTCCAGCCTTTACCTGTGGCGCACCGGCCGAGGCCAGGGAAGCCGACGCCGTGAGGTCCGAAGTCCGGAGACAGTGCGGGACAAAGACCCCGCGCGACAGCCGAGCCTGCGAGAGCAACCCACCAAAAGGTGACTGGAGCCTCCGAGGGCAGGGCGCAGTTCCCGCTAGGAGCTCGGCCCCACCCCCGACCCCAGAGCCCGCTCCTGGGAGGGGCTCCCGCTCCGGCTCCGGCTGGCGGGAAAAGTCGCGGCACTCGGCGCAAGAGGAGACAGAGAGGAGGCAGCTCCCAGAGGGGCGCAGCCCCCGTTAGAGACGGGTGGGCCAGGCAGGGGCCAGAAGCGGCCCTGGAGAAAGAAAGGTGGCGGGAAGGGACCACCCCAAGCAGAAGGGAGTCAAAGCGTTGGAGGTGCGGTCCAGAGAGGCGGACTGGGGAGAGGGGACAGGAGGGCAGCTAGGGAGAAGGAAGGCTAAGAGAGAGAAGTCAGGTAGGGAAGGAAACAGGTCCCTGAGATGGGGGTGGGGGCGCTTCAGCAGCGGAAAGGGGCTGGGGGCCCAGAAGGAGCCCCGGACCGAGGACGAGGGGGTGGCTGCTGGCAGCGGACCGACCTGTCACCTGCAACAGGTGCCGCGAGAGGGTGAGACGTCTCAGTGCTGGATCAGGGGAGGGTCTCCTGCTCCGGTAAGACCGCAACCCCGCTCGGGCGGCCGGCCCTTCCCACCCTCCTGGGAGGCGGAAAAAGCTGCAACTTTCCCTGGAGCGGGGAGGAGCTGGACTCTTAAAGGGGCCGCATAGCACTCGGGGCTCCCTAGTAGGGGACCGCTCAGCCCGAAGGGGAACTCTGGAAGCCAAAGCCTTAAGGCACTGGAGGGATGTCCCGGATTAAGAAAGGGAGCCTGAGGACTGAGTATAGGGGTCTAAGACTAGACGTGCCACCCCCCCCATTCACCCCATTTACTTCCATCTGTGGTCACTCTCTTAAATGGTAAAATCACCTACCTGTTCCGTTCAGCTGAGCCAAAAGTTGTCAAATTGTCGCTTGCTTAGAAGACAGAGTCTGAACTATATAATTTGGGAAGATAAAATATGATACCATTCTGATCCTTTGACTTTTGGCCTTTTATGGCAAATAAAAGTGTCTATCGAAAATAGAAACGTTTTGGGCAAAGGACAGACTAAATTCACACGTATACACTCAAGGACACAACTGGTTAAAATATTCAACTCACTAGTAATCAAAGAAGAACAAATTAGAACAATAATGAGACTTGGCAAAGAGTTTTATATATATATGAACTTTGGCAAAGAGTTTTATATATATACAACTATATATATATATATATATATATATATATATATATATAAAGTGTTATATGATAATGACAAAGTGGCCACCAAAAAATCTCATAATTGCTGGTAGGCGTGTATATAGGTTAAAAACTGTTTTAGAAAGCATGTAAGCAATGTATATCAATAGACTTTAAAATGTTTATATCTACCCAGTAATTGCAGATTCCTCTCTCCCTCCTCCTCCCTCCCTTCTTCACATCAGCCATTAAACATGCTTAAGTCTCTCTCATCTGTCATCAGCCATTAAACATGTTCAAGTCTCTACCATCTTAAAAAATCTCCTGACTACACACAAGTTATCTCTCCAACTCCTCTTTATGGGCAAATGTATTGAAAATGTACTTTATAGGTGCATTTGCAATTTTCATTTCCTTACTTCTTATTCATTTCCCAACCCTCAGCAATCTGGCTTCCTTCCCCACTGAAACTGCTCAACAAGACACCAAACTAATGACCTCTGTGTCAATAAATCCATCAGTCAATCAATAAATAAATGGGGCATCTTCAGTCCTTATCTTGTTTGATCTCTCCCCTACATTAACACTGTTAACCATTTCCTTTTCCTTGAAACTCTTCCTGTGACATCTATAATATCATTTTCTTTTGCTATTCCTCCTACTCCTTTGCTCTCTCCTCAATCATCTTTGTGATTTCTTCTGCTATCTGACTTCTGAAAGTCAGACATTCTCAAGGCTAGGATACATATACTCTCTCTCTAAATGATCTCTTTCACTCACTGGGCTTTAATTACCCTCTATATGACCACAACTGTAATTCTATAACTCTACCCGGACTGCTTCATTGAGCTCTGTTTTCTTAACATCTCCACCTGGATGTCCTGCAGGCATCTCAAATTCAACACATCCAAAGATGAACGCACCATCTTTTCTCCTAAATTTGCTCCTCTTCCAGTGTTTTCTATTTCAGTAAATGTTACATGCCATTCAAGGCAGAAACCTGGCACCTAGCTTAGTACCAAGCACACAGTAGGCCCTCAGTAACACTTATATAATGAATAAATGCATGTGTCCTAAGGAAAAAGAGATGTACACAATGTTTTTGTTCAACTATGTTAATCCCAGTATTGCTTAGAATAATAAAATATTTTTTAAAAAAACTAATGGTATAATGGCTAAGTAAATTATATAGTTTTTAATGACAGGGAAGTGCTTATGCTATAATATCAATTGAAAATAGGATACATTAATATAAAATATGATCACAACAATTAATGAAAATGGAATATGCATGGAAAAATTAGAAGGAAATATGCAAAATATTAATAGTAGATATCTCTAGGTGGTGGAATGAAATGAATTTTTAGTTTTCCTCCTACTTTTCTGTATTTTTCAACTTTCCTATAATGAACATATATGGCTTTGATAATATAAAAAAATCTTTTTGGGGGCCAGCCCGGTGGCGCACTGCTATAGTGCACCGCTTGGGAAGCGCGGTGGCGCTCCCGCTGAGGGTTCGGATCCCACATACAGACTGGTTCCCGCTCACTGGCTGAGCGAAGCGTGGGAGCAACACCAAGGGCTGCGATCCCGTTGCCGGTCCCGGTCCGGTACGGGGGCGACACTGAGGGTTGCGACCCGTTGCCGGACACGGAAAAAGACAAAAAAAAATAAAAATAAAAATAAAAAAATCTTTTTGAAAAGTCTTTAAAAGGGGGAAAAAAAACATTTTAATTCTAGGAGACAAAACAGTAAAAATTCAGTTCTCAGGCTCTAACCAGAGTTTTCTTCCATATTTTAGCCCTTCAATATCCCGCCCCCACCCTGAAGTGTGAAGAAGCTACTTAAGAAAGAATATCCTTTTGTTCTGTCTGGCTTTGCCAATTCAGCCTTCCCTCTGGACCTTTCTGCTCAGCCCTGGGGAATGTTTTCCACCCCCAAACCTGGCCTGTGGGAACTCAGATGAAGTACTTCTCTGCTCCTTCTGTACAGGTAGTTCTTGGCAGGAGCTGGAAACACCTTCGGCCAGAAGCAACTTCAGAAAACATTTAGACCAATCCCCATATTCCTCAGCAAAATTTTAAACTTTAACTTCTGTGTGCAGTTTCTTACTCTCCAAGGTCCGCCTCACTAAAGAGTATAAGAGAATCTGACCCCTCTTCTCTAAGACAGTCTCACTGACCCACCTGCAAATACACAGAGAGAGAAAAACATAAAAAATGAACCAAAACAAAATTAGTCAATGACCTGTTTACACATACTCTGTGCTTTGCAAACTGTTGTCCATTTCTGTTTGATCCTCCTTGTCAGCCATAAGGATTCTGTGCTCAAATTCTTATACTAAATATTGCGAGGGGTTCAATGCAAACAAATCCAGGCACTATCGTGTGCAAAAATGAATACAGGAACTTATGGATTATCATCCCATCTCTAGTATGTAATCTCCTGTCCTATAGTGAATGATTGGATTCAAGGAGTTGTTCAGTTTTGCCACAGTGAGGGAGTTCTGGCTAGTGCAAATTTTAAAAGATAAGAGATTTTTGCAGCCCCAGGTGACAGGATATTGGGGTAGTGAGCAATTATTCTTTTTAAAAAATATTAAATATTTCAAAAATATACAAATATATAGAGAATAATCTAACAAGGTTATGCCCATAAGAAATAAGGCATTAGCAATATAATCAAAGCCCCCTGTGTGCTCTTCATCCTGAGGTTTTCACAATCTCATATTTGATCTTAATCATTTCCATTATGTCTATATACATTTACTACATATGTGTTTATCTCTAAACTATATGTAATACTTTATGCAAATAGTATTACTTTTCTCAGTCAACATTATGCTTATGAGATTTATCCTTCTTGATAGGTGTACCTCTAATTAATTCATTTTCACTGCTACAGAGCATTCCAGGGCATAACAATATTGCAACTTATATATCTGTCTCATATTGATCAGGTACTTTCTTTTTTTTTTTTTTCCTTTTTGTCTTTTTTTACTGACCGGTAACGGGATCGCAACCCTCAGTGTCGCGCCCATACCGGGGACCGGCAAAGGAATCGCAACCCTCAGTGTTGTGTCCACACCACGCTCAGCCAGTGAGAGGGAACCGGTCTCCACAGGGGATCCGAACCCTCGGCGGGAGCGCCGCTGCACTCCCAAGCGGCGCACTCTCCAGTGCGCCACCGGGCCGGCCCTTGATCAGGTACTTTCTAACTGCTGAAGTTTTAATTCTGGATGCCAGGACACTCCCTCTTCATCTCAGGTTGAGTAATGGTTTACTTTTGTTAAAAAAAGAAAAAAGCTTCCTGACAAAGCAAATTTAGTGCACTAGTGGTTGACAGTGAGTACAAGGTATAAAAAGTAGATTTAGTCTCTCATTCATTCAAGATCAGAGTTTCTCAGCCTCTGCACTATTGATGTTTTGGACTGGATACTTCTTTGTTGAGGGGTGGGGAGGCTGTCCCGTTCATTGTAGCATGTTTAGCAGTATCTCTGGCCTCTATCCACTAGATGCCAATAGTACTTCCCCAGTTGTGATAACCAAAAATGTCTCCAGATATTGCCAAATGTCCTCAGTTGAGAACCACTGGTCAAGATGTACTGAATACCCACAACATGCAAAGCACTTTAGTAGGTGCTATGGAAAGACAGAAGATAAACAAACAGTGAATAAAAGACTATTCATTCAAAGATATGTATTGAGCATCTACTGTGTGCCAATTATCCTGTGCTAGGCTCTGGGATTTGTGTGACCCTTTTTTCAGGGAATTCAC